CCTGCAGAAATCTTTTGGGGTATTGTAAAAGGGCAGACAATAATTAAAAATGATTTCCTTCCCATACGAAAAAGCCAGACGAGGCGGCGTCTCAATCGTGTCTCGCCGTCGGAATCCGGTACAAGCTCTTGCCACTGTCTGCACGATTTGTGCACTTGGTAACACTACAGCCTGTCATTTTCACGGGCCTCTTTCTACGCGCATGCAAAATTTAATGCGGTAAACGACGTAGCGGCTGACGAAAACGCCGTCCCCCCGCTTTCAAACGAGAGCTCGCCGACTCGCCAAGATGACCGGATGGGCCGGTCGCGTATCGGTATCGCGTATCACTCCGCAAGAGCTGCAGGCGCGGGGAACGCGATCGTCGTCCGTGTCGTCTGCTTCACATACCCTGAAAACGAATGTCCCAAAACATCGCTCGCGTTATAAAAAACGGGATGGCGCTAGAAAGTTTACTAAAAAATACTGCTGTTTAGCTGCGTTAACTAATTTCTTTAAACACACATTATACAATTTGTATTTAGATTGAAGGCGTAGATTAAATGGATTGCGTTTTAGTTTTTTATACATATTGTTTTTGTGATTGATAGATCGCTGTAGTCCGTATGTTAACCAGGGGCTCTTTCTGACTGATCTGCGGGATAGGGTTTTGGTTTTCGTACCTATTTGAATGGAAGATTTTAGTGTTTCTAAAAAGTTGTCTAGTTTTAGGTCTGCCGTGGGCGCCTGGTATACGCTCTCCCATGACTTCGTGTTTAATGTATTTATTATTACGTCGTAATCGTATATTTGAGTAGTTTGTGTTATCGATTGTGACACCTTATGTCTATTAGAAACAGCGAAAATGAGTGTATGGTCGGTTATGTCACTTGCAATAGTGCCAATTGTGAAGTCTGTTGGATGACAAGACGTAATTATGTGATCCAAAGTGCTGCGTTTTGTGTCGCTAAAGCGGGGAGTTGTTGTTATGCATGGTTGTAGTCCGTAGACGGCTAGTGTATCTAGGTATTTGTAAGTGACGGATGAATCAGCAGAAGGGTCAATGTTTATGTCGCCCATAATGATGACATTCGAATTAATTTGAGAAAAGTTTTTGAGGGTTTCATTTAAGCTGCCTAAGAAGTGCTCAACTGCATTATTTGGTGAACGGTAAATGACGCCAATGAGTGTATTTTTTGTTTTATCGGGAACTACACTAGGTGATTTCGGATTTGGCGGAATTTCTATAAATAGTGATTCACAAAGATTAGATGATATATGAATGTCCTCTCGAAGTCTGAAAGTAAGCGTATTTTTTATGTAAAGAGCAACTTCCCCGTGCGATTTAGACGGAAACGTTATTTCTTGTATTTCGCGATGACCATATATTACCTGATAGCCAGGGGTATTGAAGTTGTTATTCGTTTTATTGCTGATCCATGTTTCAGTAAGGGCGACCAAGTGAAACTCATGTTTTAGGGTAGATAATAAGCAAATCAGATCGTCATAATGACTACGTAAGCTTCTGATGTTCAGATGGAGCACCGATAACTCTGATGAAGTGGATGTCTGTCTGGAAAATAGGTCTGGTTCAAACAAGGATACGTTCATAAGGAATAGAAAAAGTGAGAACCGAAGGGCGACACAGAAAGATTTCGAAGCTATACGAAGACGCTCAAATCATCCTTAGACACGATCTTGTGAACTGAGCTCCCATTGCTTTTTCTGGCTTTAATAACACATTGGTCCACAGGTGCATCCATTCCTTGTCTTTCTTTAGGCGCAGTGCCGCAGAGAACAGTTTTTTGTTTAGAGGAGAAAGGTGATCATTAAAAAAGATTTGACGCGGTTCCTCTTGTAGGTTCGAATCTTTGCTTGTGATGCGAGCGCGGCGTGCCTTCTTTTGGAAATCATTCTTATGATCCCTCGAGATGAATCTCGCGATTATGTTGTGAGCGTTTGGTTGACTTGAGGTGGGAATCCGGTGCACGATGTCGATGTCAGTTTTAGTGATGGGACGGTTGATGTGGTTACCAATGTGCGTTAGAAGCTCTCCGAGATTTTCGGTCGGGTTGTTGGGCACGCCACCGATCTCAACGTTGTTGAGACGTGAGTACTGCTCGAGTTTAGCGACCTGCCGTGTTAGGTCTGTGCTGTTTGTTTCTAATAATTCATTGCTCTTTTTCAGTTTTAAGTTCGTCTGCTTCTTTTGCAGGGGTTGTGGTGACGTCAGAACGCCCAGATCTGATTGGTTCTGAATGAAGGATGGTAGGTAGACCTCAAGGCAGCTTGCTTTGGGGTCTACCCTTTATCCTTCCATGAGAGCCAATCAGAGCTCGGCGTGTTTCTGACGTCCTAGCAGCTCCTGCGCAAGAAGCAGACCATTTGCTCTCCGCATAATGAAAAAAAAAAGTATAGACCACTCCAACAGTCGCTCCTTCTGTGCGCTATACCATGTTTACGTACTGGGTTGTGGGACGCGTTTCAGGCGCGCACAGTAGCTGTCTGCCGCGAGACATCAGACACCGCGAATGCGTCCACAGTCCTTTGACTCGGCATTTTTCGCTCGAGTGAAAAGCTCTGAAAGCGTGTGTACACCAACTCGGGTTTACAAGACAAACCGCAGCGCTACTAGCAGCACGCCACCGGTGCCGCGTATGCGCGATGTGATGGAAGCAAAAAGCGCGCCTTTCCGCGTCCACAAACTATTCGAATCTGTTGCTGTCGGCATCACTGTTAGACCCCGTGCTCAACTTCAAGTTGGAATTGTTGATACTACATCTTCTTAGCAATGTCTTACTACTTTAGTGGCCTGAGCGAAATTAACAATGCTCGTTACACCGCAAAACTGCGTGTAAATATTGCGACGTGCGGCGATTCATTCCGCTTTAACGCCGCGGAATAGACGCGAAAGCCTGATTCATACGATGAGATTCTGCTCGCTATCTTCAGTCGCGACGTAGCTCGGACTGGAAAAGCGTGGACGGTAGCTGCGATGTTCGACGTCGATATTGAAAATCGCAAGCAGAATCGGACCATGTGAATCAGGCAAAAACAAATTGGTGATTGCCACTGCATGGTTACAAGCACTGTTCAACATCTCCTTGTATGTGCTGTTTACAGCGAGCATACTTAGCTTAAACAACCTTTAAGGGGGATTGCACGTGGAGCGAAAGCTCGCGCTGCAGAACACAGGATCCTTGGTTCCATCTCCAGCCCTGCCGGTTTCGATCTGGATGAGCATCGTAACGGCGTGCGGTCGTGTAACACTACTGCGTGGTGCACGTTAAAGACCCCAAGCTAGCGGTTGTACTGCACTAGCTAAATTGCTCATCTACAGCCGGGTGACTCGTCGCCCGTTGGGGCAGACTAAGTTCTAGTCTGTATAAACATACATATACAACCCAATATTTTTTAAACAACCTTTAAAATAAGTCTTTTGAGGTCTGCACTTACCTTTTATCGCAACTACCGGGTCAGCGTTTGATCTACGGGCCGCTTTCGTTTGAACGAGCAGACGACAATTTGAACAAGGTGGCGACCCCTTGAACAAGAAGACGAGTTTGAAGGAGCAAACGAGTCTGAAAGATCAAATGGCCGTTCGACTGTGAAGACGCACTGAACGTGGTCCGCGGGCGGTCCGGACAACTTGACGGTTTTCCCGTGTTTATGTTGGAAGATCTGACGTGCACAAGTATTCGTAAATTCAACCCAAAGTACTGCCCGCATAGGCAATCGGGGTCCGATGGTGTCTGGTTTTCCGTTTTCACGGCACCTATCCACGTTTTCGAACGAACCGAGCAAGCAAAAAACACATCAAAAAATTATCTTCACACCTTTCCCGGCTCTATTCGTAGAGCCCCAATCACATCGTTTCAAAGAAAAGGCAAGTTTTAGTCTGTATTTCTTAGACAACAGAGGAATGCTTGTTCCACATGGCAACTCCCGCCCACACCCCCAAGACCGGAAGTGCGCCCGAAGCGCCACTACCGCGGCGTGACGTAGCAGAGTTGAATTGGTGTCGGTTGGTGTATCCATGGCTTGCCCATGACGTCATCGCACCGTACCAACGATCATCATTTCTTGTTCCTGCTGAGACAAATTCGGTGGTGTGAAATCTATGCCGTACAAGGTCCTTCACAATGGCCGCTGGCGTGACGTCAGTGGAAGCATAGCTTGCATGTAACGTCATTCACGGCCATGGAAGTATTTTATGCGCTGCAAACGTTCGGGTCGCCTCGCTGGTTTCACAACGCAGAAGTCGTAGATTGAAGAAAACCTGTGAAAAAGAAATTACCGTCAGTACCCAGCTATGGCGGCACTTGCAAGCTATGTACAGGACAAGCGTGTTGGCTGAGCGGGATGTCATAAACAAGCGCCATCTCACAAATGTCTGTAGTGAAGACAAAGGCATAGGCGCGTGAGCCTAACTGAGCAGTATGATTTTGTTTGTACAACTACTCGTGCATGAGAGGCACTTTCTAAGGCCACGTGGTCGTGCACATGCCTTTGTCTTCACTGCAGACGTTTGTTTGTTCATTTGGTCTTTGTCGCTAGTTTTTACTGGCCAGAATTTGAAACGTAAAGCCGGCGTTACGCTGCTAATATATAGGATAATACAGAAGACAGTTTACAAACACAGTTCGGGGCGTGTATCAATTCCTCGTGTCACAGTCCTCTCACGTTGGCCATACAACAACTAGCTGCAGACATGTTCGAAGCAAACATTGGTCACATAAGGGCATTGGTCATACAACAGATGCATGCAGAAATGTTTGAAGCACACATATGCAGGAAGGAAACGCGCTTCGAAAATGCCTGAGGCGCGTCCTCGGAGAATTCTGTCATCATGTGTGCGGGGAACACCGTGTCTTTTGTTTGATATACATGCGAGCAGCGGGACTGCGCCACTGACTGCGGAGTGGCAGGGCCGAATTATTTCACACCACGTTTTCTTCTCGTGTCCGTGTCTTCGAGGCTACTCGACGTGCTCAACAATAGCCTGCACACTGACTTCGCAGGGTGCAGTCCATCGATCCGGGGGCCTTCGACCGGCTGCACTCACTGGAGTGGCTGTACCTGCACTCCAACGAGATCTCGACGCTTCACTACAGCGTCTTCCGGCCCGTGCTGGACACCCTGTCGATTCTAGACGTGCACGGTAGGTATACAACCACCCAAATATGGCGGTAGCGGTCCGAACCAGACTCCAAGGTTTCAAAACCCTCATCTATTTCAAAAGTTGTGAGCGATTTGTAAAAGATTTTTGTCATTCCTCTCCGTGTATTCACAGGGTCTGCTGGTGGCCATTTCGTCGTTGAAAATCGCTACGCAATCGTTTATTGTAACTTTTGAAATGGGCACCGATAAGTTCTGAAACTTTCGCCTGTGGTCCGGACTGCTAACTCTACGATTGGGAGGAAACTAAACGTGCAACAATTCGTAGTTTTCTTTTTTTTTTTTCTAATGTGTGGTGCATTTAGACATAGAGAGGCGTCTTTTTGCACAGTGGTTAGTTCTAGAAACCGGTAATGTCTACAGGGTATCCCAAACAACTTGCACCATACTAAACAAAAAACAACAAAACGGAGCGCTCTGCGGGAGCGAAATTTACTGTAAGTTGTAAGCAATCATCTTACAAAAATGCAGGAGACTGTTTAGTGTGCCCAATTATTTTATTAAGACTAATCAGATAACGTTTTTTTATTATGTGTGTAACTGCCGAGGTCTAAAGGCAGAATCTACCAATCGCTGCCTTTAGAGTGTTTCTTTGTGTGTTTATTTGTGATTTGGTGGCTCCAACAGTAAAGCAACGTTGCCAACTCAAGTCGGTCCGTTTTATGATCCTGATGTCAGTACGATACGGCAAGAGAGTTGATGTCAATGAACGCGCACCTCAGACGTTACGTCAAAAGCGGTGGCATTTAACACAACAGTGCTGATGTTCATTTGTTTTATGTCATGCAACGGGAAGGGGGTGGGGGCGTTCCTGCACACGTTCAGTGGCCACAGCTGGTGCGCACAAACGCACACTTATCGCTGAAGCGGTCAGTTCCTAGGCGGCCAGTAACTTCGTCATCGATGGACGCAAAGACTGTGGTCTTATTTCTAACGGCGGGAAATCTTCGGCTACATTCAGCTTTTCCACTTGTTAAGTTTGCCCGTCCAGGTGATTCCGTGTATTTGTCTGTCACATTCTTGCTTCCAGCGTTCATGTGTCTGTATCCGAGAAGATACCCTCGAACGTCCGTGCTCAATAGACAAACCGCTCTTGCCGGATGTTGTCGGTGCGACTCCGGCTGACGCAGCTGATGACAATGCGAAGAGTCATGGGCGGAATGCACCGCCTCCGCGCGCAGAAAAAGTAGGGCGATAGTTCACCTCGGCAAATGTACGCGGGACTTCACGCCTGAAGTACAGTACGCGACACAGTTATAAGCGTGAACCTGTGATCTCTTCTATAGGGGGTATTCACTGGACGCCATGTTTGAGGGCGATGTTAAGAGCGCATGCTCAGAACGAGCTTACAATTACAGGCTGCTAAGACTGGCAATCTTGATGGTGCGGAATGCACGTTGCAAAAGAACTGAGGAAGCTCCGGTAGTTCGATGCTTGTCCCGGAAGTTGAACGTCTTCAAGGCTTCCTAGTGCATTCAGTCGATGTTTTGGTTCACGCTGTCTTCTTGTGTCTTCCAGTGTGTTTTGTACGCGGAGAAACTTTGCAAAGGGTTGTTATTAATATGACAGGAAAAACTGAGCGGCGAAAGCTTCCTGGATAATGTCATTTGCGCACAATTTTCGAACATTGAAGGGCAATTGCCATGTCGTGCACCACTCAGACAGCCTTTCCAGAGCGCTGTTAATTAATCGTTCATCATTAACGTTTTAACTTCGCTAAACAAGATGCAATCGTAGGCATAAAAACGCATGTCAAGGCCAACACACTTTTCAACATTATTAATTAAGATAAGAAATAAAAGTTGTCCCAAGAGGGAGGCTTGGCGGAGACCTGACAATTGCTGGAACAGAACAAGGAGCTTGTTTTGTTCCAGTCAGACGAAGAAACTACGAGCAGTTAAGTTATCTTCAAGATTACATACGTAACAAATCGTGTCTGGAAGGATGCTCCATTTTATTAAGTTATTTGGTGTAGCCACCATAACACCTATGTATTATGGGGGCTACATCATATGCATATGCATAACTATTATATATATGGTGATTTTTAATTGAATGTCCGTACAGGGTCATTGAAATAAATCCGGACTTTTTCCAGATTTAGTCTCTCAACAATGCAGTGAAGCTAACCGGCCGTATTGTGCTCCTGTGGCCACGTGATTTGACAGCGAACCATCGCAGGATAAACAGTTCGCGACATTTCTCAAAAATAAACAGGGAATACGACCGAAGTGCAGCAATATTTGAATCGCTTCGCGCCGGAAGTTCGCCTAAGAAAGTCATTGCGTGGTCTACAAGAAGACACAAATTGGCAGCATTGTCATAGACTTTCTGATAATCTGTCAGCCAGAAAGACGTTACGGCAGACCGAGCAAAGCACAGGGAACAGTAGATATTTATTTTATGTTTGCCTTTGTTGGTTCTCCTGAATATGGTGACTTTTATGGATTTCTTTCGACAACCTTGTATACTTTACTCTATTTGCGACCCTTTTGCATTAATGTTTGTATGTGTTTTACTTGATTTGCCCCCTTTTTGTTTGAATGCCGGTATAGTTCTTATTTAACTCGTTTAACCTGCTTTTTTTTTTCAACACTGTGTGTAGTCTTGTTTCTTCGCTATTAATTTTGTGTTTGTTAAAACCTTTACCCCACCCCAACTTGGGTGTTAACGGGCCATAGTATTGCTTAAACAATTACATAAAACTTTTCTACAGAGCTTTCGGTGGAAGAAATAGGGCTCGACACCATAGCGTCAGTGGGGTCAGCGGCATCCGTCGTGACAGCACCCCCCCCCCCCCCTTCTTTCACTGCCCAGCCGCTCCCCCCTGAGCGCTGCGCCCGGGACAGTCCGCCCCCCCCCCCCCCCCCCCTCGCCCCTTAGTGACGCCATTGCTCGTAACTATCCCATGAAATTTAAATTGTTAAAAATGCCCATTTCGAATTCGCACTAACCGTATCGACCAGTGTATATCACATGAAAGCACTCTGATGTCATCTCGGTATCTTAGAACATAAAAAAGGAAGGCCCCATTTTGCACCTTCTACTTCATAGCTCCATCTAATATATTCCGTCAGAAAATATCTCAATAAAAAGAAAATCAATTCGAGGAGAGGAACTCGAGCGAAAACCAAGACAGACCGATATATAGAGTGCAGAAAAAGGGTTCCGGCATTTTTGCATCGACCGCCGGAGCACAAAAAGAAAACACACCTCCGCGATCGCTCTCAATCTTCTCTTCTTTCCATTTCTCATTCTATGTCAGCGCGAAAAAAAAAAGTGCGAAAACAACACAAGACCGTGAGAGAATACCGAGTGTTCGTGAAACGCAGCGATCAATCAATATTTGTTTACCTCGGTCGTCCTCGACTTTTTTTTTCTGTTTCGGCGCATGTAAGCGTATACAGTGTTAGCTTCGTGATTTACCGTCCGCTATTCCGCACGCGAGGCACGTGCTCTGCTCCTGCATACATCCCGAATGATCGCCCACCTCATATTTGTTCCCTTTTATGCTGTCGCAAAAAGATAGTGAAGAAACTGCGGAGAACTAAGAAAACTAAAGTTATTTAGCGCGCTGAACTTGTGCTTGAAACAAAAATACAACAGGTGGGGTCGCGTGCATTGCTGGCGTCGGGACAGCAGGTTTGAGCGCTAGCGTGAGACCAACCTCGGTGCAGCGCACTACGGCTGTTTTTATGCAGGCATTATGTTCACGAAGGTTTCAATCCAGAACATACAATAGGTGACGAGAACGCTCTGAAACTTTTCAAAAACGCACGGACTAGTGAAATAATAAACAGTTTTAGTATAGCGTTGCTGGCTCTTACGTACGCAATACGCAATAGTATAGCGTACGCTAAAAATGACCTGCTCGGACCGAATTTAGCTGTGCGTTACGTTTTCGAGTGAACACCGCGCATGATCTTGGTTAGATTTGCTAGAGCTGCAGAATTCCGCGTGCTTATAGCGCAACCATGCTCCTGGAAAGAAATATTGAAAATGAAAACGTGTCCAATGATTTTATTTCAAATTAAACTAAGCCGCAGCGGCCTCGTCAAGCGCGCTTTTCTGCGGGGTACAGAGGCTACGAGTAAAGGCCGGTTCAGACGCTTGCGTTTGAGTGCGTTTGTTTGACTGCGTTGCGTCGAGAACCGAAAGCGAGTCACCGGCACATCTGTGCTTTGTGTGAAGCGTGCAATCCAATTCAAAGAATCATCTTAGCACGCGATATAAGTAGCAGGGATGTCCTGGTTTCTCGCTGCCGCAACGCAGTCAAACGCAACTGTCTGAACCAGGCTTAAAGTGGCCATGAAACGAATTTTGGGTTGGGATGAATGATTTTAAATTGGGACTTTACAAATCGCATATCGTTTAGTTGGCCAAAAGGAAGAGGCTAGAAAGTCAAAAGCCAGCTTTTCGGTACGAACATTTGAAAATATAGCGGACTATTTTGTACCTTCTTACCTTCAAAAGCTCTCCGCCTTTTCACTATGATACATCCGCGGTTCCAAAAGCGCGTCACCGGCGCCAAACTGACGTCAGCAGAATCCAGCTCACGCATTGGACACGAGAACTGCGTCACTCGGACGTATGCGCTCGTCAACAATCAATCCGTCGACGAATATTTGGATTCGCGTTCGTGGCCAATGAGTGCCCAGACGGAACTTATCATCACTGGGGAATGACAAGTTCTATGGTGTGCATAAAAAGCACGGTGGAAGCTATGAGTCATCGCATCGGTGCCAAAGGAATGTCACGACCACGTGATTTCACAATTCGCATTTGAGTTGAGGATTAAAGCTAAGGAGGAAGAAGTAGGAAAATCGTTTCATGACCCCTTTAAGAGTGCGTAGCCAAATTCGATCACGGAGCTTCCGTCAATCTTCCCTTTGAAACGGCACCTTTTATCAATGCTATCGTGGAATGAAATTCATGACCTACTGATGTCCAGTACATAGCGAGAACTTCGGCGATTTCTTTTAG